AATCCACCAGCCACTCCTCGGAAGGAAGATGGGGCAATCTACTTCCGTAGTGATACTGCCTTGGAAACCCAAGGAGGGGTCGCTATGAGTCGGGTTCGACTCGACGGCACATAACAACAACAACAATAAGATTTCATATAACTTGGTTCCACAATCAACACCAATGGAAGCAGCAGTCAAGACATCAAATGACATACTGCACTGGACAAATCTGCTACAAAAGACCTCTTTAAAGTGCTGAAGAGCAAAGATGACTCCTTGAAGACTAAGGTGTGCCCAACCCAAGCCATGGTATTTTCAAACACCTCATATGCATGGGAGAGCTGGATAATGAATAAGGAAAACAGAAGTTGATACTTTTGAGTTGTGGTGTTGGCGAAGAATACTGAAAGTACCATGGACTTCCAAAAGAACTAACAAATCTATCCTGGAAGAAGTGCAGCTGGAATGCTCCAGAAGTGAGAATGGACAGACTTCCTCTCACCTACTTTTGTCATGTTGTCAGAAGGCACCATTCCCTGAAGAAGGAGATCATGCTCGGTAAAGTGGAGGGTCAACAAAAAAGGGGAAGGCCCTCAATAACATGGATTGACACAGTGGCTGCAACGATGGGCTCAGATATAGCAAGGATTGTGAGGCTGGCACAGGACCGGACAGTGCTTTGTTCTGTTGTATATAGGGTCTCTATGAGTTGGAGATGACTCGAGAGCACCTAACAACAGCAATAATTTTCTACATAAAATTTAATACTCTCACTTGTTCTTATAGCAATCACTAATCTGAAAAAGATTTCTTTGGCCTCAAAACCTCAAGTCTTTTCAATATTATGTTCTTGAAGTATTCATATGTCAATGATCTTAGAAATTCCATTTAATAATATATTTTTCAATAATTAGTTAGTATGACTTTAGGGTCAAAGATGAAGTCATGGATGAAGGCAAGATGTGGTTGTGGAAAGATTATAAATCATTTATGAGCAAAATTTAGTTTTTACTAAAAAATTAAGTTGTCTTAACTAGTAAAAGGAATTATTTACTAACCCTGAAACAGCTGAAGGAATCGAGGATGTAATGCTGAAGTGATCACTCTCTCTGGAAGTTCTCTCAGGAAGAGCTTCAACAGACTGGCTGCTGAGGAGACATCTCCATCTTTCTCAAGCTCCACGTGCACTCCACTCTCATACTTCAGTCGAAGTTGTGTCACTACCTTCACATTACCATTCACCCTAAAAAGCCCTTCGTGGGTGAGTCCTGGAACAGCAAAGCAGACACATAAAGAATAGAGATCTCTCACAAACAGACACAAAATCTAAAAAACAACAAAAATAAATAAATCCTAACACTGGATTCTCTGACTACTCTAATTATCAAGCATTGAAAGATTTTCTATTTTATAAAAAATATTTGTTAGAATAATAAATATCCATATCTACTACATATTGACTAAAATCATTTAGATATGACTGTTATAAAATCTGACCTATACAAATAAGGCTATGTAATGTATAAATACATTATATAATAATATATATAATACCATGCAAAGAAATTTCATTCATATAGTATTATATGGCAGATAACAGAAACTTACCTTGAGTTCCAGTTAGCAGCTTAGCATTTTGTGAACAATTATTTTTTTAAAATGGAATGTACATAAGAAACCTCTGAACTGTGTGCAATTATCTTTGTAACAATTTAATTTAAAAATAGGTGATAATTCTTTAGAAGTCACTAAATTCAATGTGTAAGGAGCTCTGGTGGTAGAGTGCCTAAGACATTTGACTGCCAATCAGAAGGCTGGCAGTTCAAACTCACCAGCCACTCGATAGAAGAAGATGGGACAATCTACTTCCATAAAGATTGATAGCCTTAGAAACCCACTGGGGATTGCTATGAGTTGAAACAACTGGATGACAATGAGTTGCTGTTTTTTTTAATTCAATGTGGACAATTTTATAAGAATATAAAATGGTATAAGATAAGATTTTCAGTCTATTTATGAAGGATTCAATGTAGGCTGAGGTTGAGATTTCATGGTGAAGGTAAACTTTCATCTTTGGCTAAAGCACAAGCAAGATGGAAGGGCTGAGGCTGATTTACTGTGAAGCAAATGAAGTTTAAGCTTCAGGGACCCTCATTTGCTTCGGCCAAGGCTCTGTCTCTCTGTATTTTTAATTATGCATTCTTTTTTAAAAAGAGGGTCCCAAAAGGATTAAGCTTCCAGACTCATAAAATAGTGATTTACCACTAACAAAGAGGAACAAAACTATAAGTTGATAGGTAGAGCTAGGATAGCATGAAGAAAGTTAGGCAGTTAAAAAAAGTATTTAGGTCAAAGAACAATGGGGTAATAAAATGGAAGAAATTGAATAGGGTCATGAGTGTTAAACTGAAGAATGGAGATTTTTATCACTGGAGCATTACATGGCAGGAAAACAACATATAATCAGATTTCAGGAAGGTTTAGCTATGTAAGTAAAGAATATAAAGGGCAGAGACCTTGTGTTAGGGAGACTATATTTTATTGTAAGAAAGTAAGACTGAGAGTATGGTAGAAAAGGAAATGAAAAGAGTGTATAAAGATTATTTGGTGTTCTGGTTACCTAGTGCCACTCTGACAGCAATATACCACCAATGGTATGGCTTGAACAAACAGGAGTTTATTCTCTCACAGTTTGGAGGCTTTAAATCTGAGTTCAAAGTGCCAGGCTCTAGGGGCTAGGTGAAAGGCCCTCAACCTTGGGGTTCAGCTCTGCTTCCCACTCCCAGCCCACTGAAGCTGAAGGCTTTTCTTCACTCAGCTGCTGGCTGCTGAGGCTGACAAGCCTGAGGTTGACAAGTAATAAGGCACAGTCCTGATTTCACCAAACCACACAGCAGTCCATTAATTCAAGTCCATTGAAAGTCCCAAGGTCAGCCAAGCATGGCAGGCTGCTGAACATGGCTACATGCAGGGTTGAAGCGTGCCATAAGATAGAAACCATTCCCAAAGCTGCTGCTTATATATGGGAAGTGGACCACATCCCTAAGCAGCTACTCAGCTGCTTGTGGTAGACCCCACCATGGAGTTGATTGCCCGTCTCATCATAGGGAATAACTACTACCACCTGCCCAGCCACTCAACAAGACCCAGCCAAGCTGATACACAAACTTAACCACCACATTTGGTAACAGTATAAAAGAGAAGTAAAGGAAAAGAAGAAACAGAAGGTGATTTTAAGGTTTGAAAACCCTTTGGGGGCAGTAAGTTTTCCAGCAGAGTGGGTTGCCTTCAGCATTAATTGGCAGAAGCAGAGAAACCAAGGAAATGGAAGCAGAGCTGCGTCACCCTTAAGGGTAGGACCATGGCCTTTGGACTGGAACCACCACAGCCCCTTAGGTTTCAAAGAATTATATCCTCACCACCTTGGTTCTGGAGTGTGGGGCTGCTCATTTATGTGTGCCAGTAGGATGGAGCCATAGCCACTGCCCAAGAGTGAGGGGGCGGGCTGCCATGCAAGAGGGAGAGGAACGGGGCCTGTCAGGCCAAGGGTGAGGTCGCCACTTAGAGGAACTAGGGGAGCCACCCAGTGGAAGAGATCTGTACAGATGCCACCCAATGAAGATCTGTACAGATGCCTAGTTGACAAGGGGTGGAATGTGGTAGTTATGTTTGTGTGTCAACTTGTCTAGGCCTGGTTGAGTGGCTGGGAAGCTGGTGGTAGTTATTGCCCATGATGAGACTGGCAATCAACTCCATGGTGGGATCTTCCACAAGCACCTGAATAGCTGCTTTTGGGATGTGGTCTGCTTCCTGTATATAAGGAGAAACCTTGGGAATGGTCTCTAGTTTGTGGCACGCTTGGACCCTGTATGTAGCTGTGTTGTTGTTCAGCAGCCTGCCATGTTCTGCCGTCCTTGGGACTTACAATGGACTTGAATTAATGGCCTGCCATGTGGTTTGGTAACATGGGGACTGTGCCATTTTATTTGTCGACCTTGGGCTTGTTAGCCTCAGCAGCCAGTAGCTGCCTGAGTGAAAAGATGCCTCTAGCTTCAGTGGGCTAGGAGCAAGAGGCAAAGCTGAAGCCCAAGGTTTAGGGGCTTTCACACAGCCCCTGGAGACTGGCACTTTGAACTTGGACCTAAAGCTTCCAAACTGTAAGAGAATAAACTCCTGTTTGTTAAGGCCATCCCATTTGTGGTATATTCCTGTCAGAGTGGCACTACATAACCAGAACACAGTATGAAAGAGAAGAAAAGGAAAGGAAGGAATAGAAGGTAATTTGAAGGGTTGAAAACTGGGAATCCAGGAAACAAAAATGTGTATACAATAAGGTGAAGTTAAAAGGGGTAGCTGGCTTAGGGTAGAAGGAAATGATCAACAGCTCAAGGTGATTGCTCCAGTATAGCAACAATTGGGATGGCGCAGGACTGGGCAGTATTTTGTTCTGTTGTATACAGAGTTGATAAGAGTTGGAACCAACTGAATGGCACTTAAAAAACAAACACGACAACACATAAGTTCGTTTTTTTTATGATTATTTACCCGTATCTGCTGAAATAAAAGAGAAATGAAATCGCTGAAATGTATGAGTAACTCCAGTCCATGAAGTCTTCTCAAAATCTCCTTCCTTTGGATTCTTCTGTGATAATCATAAATTCTTAAAAATTTAGAGTAGGAGTTTACAAAGACTTATGGCTAGAAAGAGAAAAAGCCAGGGGGACCAGGACAGAGCAAGAAAGTAGTGGCAGGGATCAAGGTAAGGGGAGGCAGCCAGCCCATGCCCAGAAGTGGCAGGAAAGTGGAATAAAGAGAAAAAGCCAGGGAGACCAGGACAGAGTGAGGAAGCCGTGGCAGGGATCCAGGCAAGAGGAGGGACCCAGGCTACGCCCAAGTGGTGGGAAAGTGGGTGAAAGGAGAGAAAAAGCCAGGGAGACCAGGAAAGAGTGAGAAAGCAGCAGCAGGGATTCAGGTAAGGGGAGAGAACCAGGCCACACCCCCCAAGTGGCAGGAAATAGGCAGGGATCCCTGTAAGGGTAGGGTGGAAAGGTTTCAAACAGCTAAGGGAGACAAACTTGTCTGTCGGTTTGTCCTACTGTGGTGGCATGTTGCTGTTAGGCTTCAGCACCGGCGTTTCAAACCCAGCAGGGTTGCACATAGTGTACATGATGCATTCACTTCTCACAAAATTGGCCAGGGAACTTTATGAATAGCAGAGAAACATTGTCGATACATTACTGTGCAACTTTATGAAAAGCACAGAAACATTGTCTGATACAGCACAGGTGGATGAGCCACTTAGGTCGGAAGGCTCTCAAAACACAACTAGGAAAGAGCTGCATCATCAGAGTAGAACCAGTCTTACTGATATGGCTAAGGTAAAGCTTTCGAGCCCTCCATTTGCTGATGTGGCACAACTCAAATTGAGGAGAAACAGCTGCAAACATCCAATAATAATTGGACATAGAATGTATGAAGTATGAATCTAGGAAAATTGGAAGTTGTCAAAAATGAAATGGAACGCATAAAGATTGATATCCTAGGCATTAGTGAGCTGAAATGGACT